ATGGAGGGCTGGCTATTGTATTGATTTAGAGCCATTTTTCTTTCTTCTATTTTGAGGCTGCATTCTTGATCCCACCAGGGGTTTCCTGTTCTGTTTCTAGTATTTTCCGGCGTTCTGGGAATATGTTGGTCTGCTGCCTTTTGCATTATGTCATTCAATGTATTGAAGTTAAGGTTTTGGTCTGTATTTTTTGTTGTTTTATAAATATCTAAATAATATGGAACCCATTTTGCTTTTGTGAACTGTCTTTTGGGTAGATATGTGATTTTAAAATCCGATTTTGAGAGTCTGGAATATTGGTTGAATCTGATGATTGTGGGTAAATGGTCACTGTAACCAGGTTCCTGTGTGACTGACCATGTGCAACGTAGTGCTGTTTGCAAGGTTGCAATGGAGAGGTCCACAGGACTTGGTCCCTCGTCGGGTGCTCTGATTCTTGTTGATGATCCGTCGTTCAAAACAGACCAGTAATATTCCGATAAAAATTCTACGATTTGTTTGCCATTGATATTGATCCTTGTGCTACCCCAATCTGGGTGGTGAGCATTAAAATCTGCCATGATAAGGGTTTCTCCTTCTAATTGGGAGGTTATGTCTTCAAGTATATTTTTCAAGTTAGGGATTTGATGAGGTGTATAGCATGTCATTATGTTCAAGTTATTAATTTTAATTATTAAGAGTTCCAGACTGTCATTTTGTATTTTAATCTCAGTGTAGATATAATTATTTTTTATACATATCGCTACTCCCCCATAACCGTCATAGCGGTCGTTTCTTAGAATATTATAATTTTTAATATGAAAAGGGGTTTCTGGTTTTAGCCAGGTCTCATTTAGGAGTATTATGTCTGGGTCGTGTTTCCATAAACAGCTGATTAGGTTGTCCCTATTGTGAGTTATACTTCTGGCATTCCATTGCAGGATTGTTAGCTTATGGGTGTAGGTCAACATGGTTTATTTTTATTTATTTTTTTTTTAAATGACTTGTATGGTTAAAAATCTGAATCTTCGTAATCCATATTTGGATTACTTTCCATTATATGCTGAAGGATACTATACAATTCTATCTGGGTACTTTTATTTAGGTTAATGATAAAATCAAAAGTTTCATCTTTATTTAGTTTGTCTATGGATTTAAGTGCACTTTCTGGCTTTTTTTGTGATGAGGTTGTTGGACGGTTGAATTTTGTGTTGCTAGAGGTTGATGGGATTGAGGGGTCGAATTGAGAAGAATTTCCTTGGAAGTTTGAAGAAGTTCCTTGTAGGTTTGAAGAGGGTCTTTTGAAATTTGAAGGGATACTTTGGAGATTTGTGAATGTTCCTTGGGGATTTAATTGTGACCTGGAGTTCGGAAAAAATAACTGTTCGTTGTGGAGCCTATGGTCGTACCCTGGTTTTTCTAAAATTCTTTTTTTGGTAGGGTTTACTAGTGCGTGTTGGTAAGATCTTTTTGAGGATTGGTTGCTGTTTTGGGCAGCAAACCTTCGTTGGTTAATAGGGATTGAATTTTCGTTCTTATTTCTATTTTCGAACGGTTTAGGGAAATCTCTAGGGTCTAGATTAAAGTTGGTGGTTTGGTTATTTTTTGGAATTAGTAAGGCAGCCTCATAGTAGGAAATGTTTTCGAAAACCATTGTTTTTTTAATTTGTTCTTGTCTTTGGAATTCGGGACATTGTTTTGAATTAGATCGATGGGAATCGGATTTGCAGTGATGGCATTTTTCATCACAGTTTGTGTGGGGAATATTTTCTGAAGTAATAGGTTCTGCGCATTGAAAACACCTTTGTTTTCCTCTGCATAAGGTTCTCGTATGACCGTACAAAAAACAATTGTAACATTGTGTTACCCTAGGAATGTAGGGAGAAACTGGCAACTCTAATCCGTACAAATCAATATACCTTGGTAGTATTGTGCCATCAAAAGTAACCAATATTGAGTACGTGGGTACGTAATCAAAATTTTTTGAATTATCTTGTACAGAAGATGAATTGTTAATTGGGGATTTTTTATTCACTCGCCTATTTAGTCTGGTCACGTTTTTTATTTTGTAATTTTTAAAAGCGGAATTTACTCTGATATCATTTTTTAAAGTTTCAACATCAAGTTCGGTATCTACAGACCTAACAACCCCTTTACAGGAGGTATAGTTAAATGGAATTGAGACCCTAAGGCCTTTTTGTTTTATTAATTCATTATGTAAAAATTCATTGGCTGCCTCATGGCTTAGAAATTCGACACCTATTTTGTTTCTGCCTAGCGCTTTGATTTTTTTAATATCCTTCAGCTTTAAGTCAAAAATTTCTTTTGCTATCTTAATTTGTGAAAAATTTCCTATGTTTTGTTTATTAGATTCGACTGTAAGTAAAAAAGTCTGATCATTATTATTGTAAGCCCTTTCATATCTTGGACGATCTACATTGGAATTTTTATTGTTTAAATTGTTTATATTTAGTTGACCTTGGTCAATGGTATGTACAAAAGTGGAATTATTACTATTAATATGTGTTTCCTCTATATCAGGATCTAACGGCGGGGGGTCGTCCCCCCCTGTGACACTCATTGTTTAAGGAAAATTAATAAATGCTTTTGTTAAAATGAATTGAAGTGATTAGATGAAAAATGGGATGAAAAGTGTGAATGGTAATGTTAGTAGAACTCACCAATCCTCTTGAAGGGCAATTTTCACCAATTTTCACCGAGATTTCCGGGAACGTGGAGATCGAGCAGCTGCATACACCGAGGTTTCAACAGCAAGTGTTCACTGAGTTCGGCAGACATAAGACATATTGCTATTTTTCGCGTAATTTAGCGCCATCTATTGGTATAGGAATTTCGCCAATACATGAGCGTTTCCTATTCGGCCCCGCTGACGGCTTTTGCTTGGGACTTGAATGCGCCACAGTGCCAAAATATTTTTTCCTGCGCGAAGCACCTAACGCATTCTATCATTGTATTTATTCTTCCTCTTTCATTAATACTCCTTGTGGGACTGAGATGAAATGAAACAAGGAATTCTAAGCAAGGAATGCATTGCGTTCTCAATTTAAACGTAACTTTTCAACAGTTGAAGTTATATCAAATTTCTTTTTTGCATTCGATTTATAATATAGGGACGGATGGCGCTATCTTTTTAGAAATTCGATAATAGAAACAAGTTTTCGACTGGAAAAAAACGAGAAAGTTAATCAATTTATAGTGCTTTTTTTTTAATTAGTTCCATTCTTATGTGTGTTAACAATACAATCGCATAAACCAGAATTCCAAAAATTATCTAGTTTTTTTTGTAGAATGCAAAATAAATGACTATTATGTCACTAATATTTGCTCATTTGCATTATGTAATGAGCCCCATTACCGCACTAGTGCGGTAATGAATCATAACGCGTTCATTATCGCACTAGTGCGGTAATAGGTCATCATTTTTTTACAACTACACAATAGTTATTATTAATGTTTTTGCTTTAGTTAGCGACCTCAGTAGATATTCCGATTGGGTTTTTTGAGAAAGGTTGGATTTAGATCAAAAATAAATGGCGTTGAAGGAAATAGGCAAATACACATTTTGAAGAAGAAAATGTGTCTGCGCTGTTTATTTTTGACCTAAATCCAACCTTCCTCGAAAAAACCAACCGGGTTATTTATAATACACAAACGACAATAGTCACTTATTTTGCAGGTCGTAGATAAAATTTTGTATATCACACGTACGGTAAGGCTCATTACAACACTCGTGTGGTTACCACGACTCGATCTACGACATAGTCGTAGCAATATTGCCCACTCGTTACTGTAATGAAGCTCATACCGTACTAGTAATATAAATAACTATTTCTTGTCATTTCGTCTGTCTCTGTTATACCCGCAGCAAACCCTATAGCTCTTTCGGACTGTTTTGCGATACATTATAAATCGCCGTCATGAACGATCCAGCGCCACCCGGCCGCGTAAAGCCAAACCCCTGTGTAGTACAGAACGCGCGGTCCAGAAGATGCTCTGTATCACTCGGGGCTTTGTTTTTGATTGCGCTGGGTCGCGTCGCACAAACCCCTACAGAGCACGCGGTCCACAAGATGCTCTGAATCACTCGGGGCTTTGTTTATGAATATGGTGCGTCGCATGAGACAAATTCCAGTGTGTTACGGAGCACGCATGCCTATTTTACACGTTTTACGAATCTACGAAATGGAATTCTTCATAAATATCTATTTTTTTCTTTCATAACAATAATTCCTCTCATTTTGATAATTGTTTGAAGATAGGTATAAAAGTCGTACATGAGTACGTACATTCAATAGTCAAGAAATTAGAGGTATCTCTCTCTCTGTATCGCACTGGAATTTGTTCGACGCGGCCCAGCGTAATCAAAAACAAAGCCCCGAGTGATACAGAACATCTTCTGGACGGCGCGCTCTGTACTACACAGGGGTTTGGCTTTACGCCACCCGGCCCAACAGTGGCCCGCTGCAATAATCGCGATGAACCTCGCATCTTTATTAGTATTAACTTGTTGGGTAGTTGTATAGTTCGACGTGCGTTACAATATATTCTAAACCGCGCATTCAATCATTTCAATCCCCTTAATCAAATCTCATTCAATACCCAGAAAAAATGTGCTGAACGCGCCTAAAAGAAGTTTCTACTTCAAATTATTATTATAAAATGCTAGATCAGTGTGCGATTTGTGCGAAATGAGAACTTAATTCTAGGTTCTAGTAAACTCTTAAATTTGAAGAAACCTGTGAATAAGTGTTGAAATTAATAAATTCAATTTTGTCAATTATTTCATTTTTCTTACAAGAAAATTATTATGAAGACGCATCATTTTTTACTTTGTTAAAATTGAGGCGTATTGCATACTTATTTGAAAATTGCAATAAATGAATATTAGATTGAACCTATCTGCAAATAATTTAAATGCATTTGAAAAAATTTAGAATCTATGAGAAAACGAAAAATTTTCAACGTTTTTGTTACAGATAGATGCAGAAGTTATTAAACAAATGCCCGAGGAAGATTTGAAGCTATACATTCCCCTTTATGGAGACCGAATAGCTGTCAAACAGTTTTGTAATAACAGAACAAAGCCAAGCCGAAAATTGGAACTTTTGAAAAAATTGCAAGATAAAATCAAGAAAAAATCAAAAAATTGTAATGGTTCAAGTTCCAGCCACGAAGAAGACGAAGAACCAGAAAAGAAAAGAAAATACGGTAACGAGAAATCTAGTCGCCAGGTAGAAATAGGTTGGATGTGTAGCTTAGATGGTGACAAATATAAACAAGTGCGAACTAGGACTGGCGGAGGTACACGAAAATTCCGTGCCTTGAAGACCATGAAAAAAAGTGCCCTCATTCAGAAAGGAATCGAACTTTTTTTTCCGGGAAATATTTCCAAAATGGGTGAAATAGAAAAGTTTTCCGTCAATCTAATGGATTTTAAGTTGTCCGTGATCGAAGATCACATAACTGTCGAAGATATGTTTCAAAATGCCAAATTTTCTAATTCGAAAGTGAGGATATATTTAGCAACAAAAGAGAAAGTACAAACGGATACCGGAACATGTTCAACAGAAACGGAAGATAGTAGTGATCATCTCACTACATCATACATAGAAACTGTTCCAACCAGTATGCCTTTTTCTGTTCCTGGTATTCCATCTTCACTGGAATTAAATGAACCACAGCAACAGCAAGAAACTTTAACTGATGAGACCGATTATTCAACCATTTCGCTTGGTTACCAAAATGAATCAAATTCAAATGTAGTGATCGAATTTGAGAATGACATAACTAGATTTTATTCCAACTATATCCCAACAGATGTATTTGAAGATGAGACTGTATCAATAACACAGGATCAAGAAATAACGGAAACTTTTACACCAAATGTGACTCCGACTACTACCCAGCAGGAAAATTCAAATCCCATCAACTTGGAATACAATGTGGTCTTTCTTCGGCGTGGAACAGTTTTTGACGACCTTCTCCAGGTATTTATGACGTTGGACAAGGATGGATTACCTATTCAAATTAGGATGATAGGATATAATGGACTAGAAGAGTGTGGCCAAGATGTAGGGGGCGTGTTTCGAGACGCGTTATCAGCATTTTGGTCCAATTTTATGGACAGGTGTACAGTGGGCGCGAATGTAAAAGTCCCATACATACGCCATGATTTCAATGCTGAAAAGTGGGAAGCCATTGCCTTGGTTTTATATATTGGTTATAAGGAAACTAATTACTTTCCGATCGAAATTGCGAAAGTTTTTATGGAAATGGTTATTTTTGATCGTAGGTTGAGTGACCTAAATGAATCATTTCTGTCATATGTCAGTTCGGATGACAAAATTTTGTTAGAAAAAGCTAAGTCAAATTTTGGTGATGTCGATCAAGATGCTCTTTTAGATGTTTTGTCAGACTTGGGATGTAAGATTGCACCCAATGAAAGAAATATTTCTGAGATATTAGATGAGTTAGCTCACAAAGAACTCATACAAAAAGGAATGTTTGTTATAAATGCATGGCAAAAAGTCCTTAAAAACTTCATTTCTGAGGAAGCTTTTTTAAGCATTTATAAGACAAAGCATATCAATTCAAGGAATGTTTTGTCTCTATTATCTGCTCCTAGTGTTGATCTTGATGGTGAAAAGAACTCAATCTTCAACTACCTCAAAAAGTTTATCAGAGAAAGTACTGTGGTAACATTAAAACAACTATTGAGATTTTGTACCGGAGCTGACGTCATAGTAGGAAAACAAATACAAGTAAACTTCAATCAAAGACATGGTCTGAATATGGTTCCAACAGCCCATACTTGCTCTTGTATTCTCGAGTTACCAGTAAATTACCATGACTATCCAGAATTTCGTTCTGATTTCAATTCAGTACTAAAAAGCACTGATTGGTCTATCGACATGATATGATTATGGGAATCTGAAAACAAATCCAGTATTATATAGAAAAATTTCACTTTTTATTGTTTTTAGAATCTTTTATTTTTTTTTGTTAATTTTCGTTTTTATATCTACTATGTTGTCTGAGTTGTTCAAAAACAGACAAAATTTGACTGTATCGACAAGTGTAAACTTTTACTTTTGTGTTTTTAAAAATGAAGAATATATTTTGTTTACAAAAAATATGTTTTTTTTTTTACACGGTACTTTTCTGCCTAGTCAGGCCGGAGTCTCATGCATCCGATTTCCGACGAAAGATGTCCAAAAAACGTTCTATTTTGACATATTTTTATACGATTATGTCAGAATAGAAGGTTTTTCGGACATCTTTCGTCGGAAAACGGATGCATGAGACTCCGGCTTAAAACAGCTATTATAAACTATCTAGAAGTCGCAATATTTCAGTTCTTAATCTAATGTATAAATTAACCGCCTGGTATGGTTCGTAATATTTTGAAAGATGTAAGTCTTCCAAAATGATATTACACAATTCAAATACATCTGAATCACATGGTTCTGATATAACTAAGCATTCTTCTGTGCAGTTTTCTATATCTTGAAAGTTTGTTTGAACAAGAAAATCATTTGTTTCATACAACTGTGGTAGGTTGTACATTATACATGGACGACCGCTGGGTCCCCTGCCATTTCTTGATTTTCGAATATTATGCGAATTCCACTCACATAGTACCTGATCAATTTCATCCTGAAAAAAACAAAGCAATTCAGAACTATTACGCGCTATTACATATTTTCTATGTATTTCTAGCAGATTGTTTAAATTTTAATCACCTGATTTAGGTTTGTTCAGACATAGTTCAGAATCAGTTCTGAATTCGAACCGAAACCGCCATGGATTTCGAACGCACTCCATGCGAATGCATCAGAATGCGTTCGAAATCCATGGCGGTTTCGGTTCGAATCGAGAGTTCGTAATCCGACTTCTGGTTTCTGAACTAAGTCCGAACAAACCTATTCAGACTGATTCTGAACTAAGTTCGAATAAACCTAATATGGGTAATAGTATCCAAAATAACTTAAAAAATTCTCACAATTTTAAGTAATAAATAACAAAAAAATTCTCACTCACCTGAATAATATCTAAAAAACAATACTGAATCAGTGATTTGTCCAAAAATGTCCCAGAGAAGTGGCCATCGTCCTTTATAGTTTCAAATAGATTAATCCAAAATTGAGAATTATGTTTCCTTAAAATGGACCACCAACATTCAATTCTTTGATTGGCCTGACTGGTTCCATATAAAAAAGCTGGTCTAGTTGAATTTACATGTTGATTACATTGACGTAAAAAAATCTGCATATTTTCTATATATCCATTTTCAGTTCCCATGTCCGATCGTATAGTTAAAGGGCAGCCCAGCAGTTTTTTGACGGCCTCCAAATAGAAACCAGCTATGACTTTCGGATTACTTGTACTGGAGGATGCTTTTACCCAAATGATTTTTCTGGAAAAACCATCTATACAGCCATTTATACCTATTCCATAGGGCTTCAATTTATCATACGAATCTACATGCCAAATATAGTTTGGTCCTTTACTGCAGTACTGCCGCCTTCTTAATCTTTTTCTCTGTCTCAGAGATACTCCATGAGGATCCAAAATTTTGAGCAAATTTCGAACAGTATCTTGTTTAACCGTAAAACCAGCTTGAAGGCATCGAAGATGCATCCATCTGTATCCATGCAAATACCCCGAACCGTTAAGTTCGTTTTGTATGAACTGCTGTAATGTATTTATACTTGTATACTGTTTTTTTCGAAACAAATTGAGCTTCTGAAGGCGCCGCTTCAGAGATCGCTCGCTCAGATATATGTTATGTTGCGTAAGACATCCTAAAATCTCAAAATACTTGAGACCCAAATGAAAATAGTATTTGATTAAATCGTCGCACAACATTGTTCGCAAGATACACACACTCTAACTATCGTAAATACTTCAGCTAGACTTCTCATATACTATTTGACTCGAGTCACTTATTATCTGACTCGACTCACTTATTATTTGACTCGAGTCACTTATTATCTGACTCGAGTCAGTTATTATCTGACTCGAGTCAGATAAAAAAAAAAAACTTTCGTGGCCTCACAGCGCTTCCGTATTTTTCCTCTATTGTATAGTTTGGTGTCCGGCTTTTTTTTGATAAACTTTCCCTGTTTGTTTTTATTTCCCGACTCCACGCTGCTCTAGGCACCTTCGTGCTCGTTCACACACAATGTAGGATAAACTACCAATATCTAAACCTCTTCTCTGTGGAATAAACCGAACCCGGACAACAACAACAACTATCTATTTAATTAATAAAAATTAGCGAGAAGTGACGAATGACAGATAACATTGACACGACTAGTGTAAAAAACGAAAAGTACGAAAATATTTCACCTGAAATGCAATGTTGCCAAAGCTTTACGACACTTATATGGCGTTTCCGATTGGTAGATCTAGTGCGGAACTAGTGCAATTTTTTCTATTTCTGTCTTTTTCTTCTACAGGTCAATTAAAAGGATGCAAATACACTCAGTGCGCACTGAATCTACCAATCGGAAACGCCATTAGCTAAGCTTGCACTTATTAGTTGTGTTTGTTATTCCGGTGTAGGGTAGGTTAGTGCAGGCTGCTGGTGTAGCTTATGGCAACCAGGGTAAAGGAAAACTCCCAAACGCGTTAGTGCAGACAGTGCAGTTCGTGCAGCGATATAAGCGGATATCTAACCTCAAAAAAATTATTATTTAGGCATAATATGGTAAATTGAAGTGGAAACTCCGAGAAAAAAATGCCTAACATCAATGAAAAAAATAAAATTTACAAGGTTTTAGTGTCCGAAATTATAGAGAGAGGAAGATGAAGAAAATTCCCCAGATTCCCCATCTTCCAGCTCTGACGACAGCTTGTTACATCTGATTCAGATTCTAGATCGAGTAATTGCAATTTTGTATATGTACTTTCACAGCTCATTTTTTTGGATCATATCAATATATTTCATTTAAGATTCAATTTCTTTTCTATTATTAAATCTGCATTATTTAGCTTATTTTGAGGTTTTAGCTTAGGAGCAACAAACAAAACAAAACAACAACAACATTGACCCCTCCATATTCTGCACTTATTACACCTCCTCTTGAGCAGGTGTAGGTAGTGCAAGATTGGGCACCCTACACTGAGATAACAAACGCCTTACACTATTTGCACTAACCCCATAACAAACGCCTCAGTGCAGAAAAGTGTAAATTATTGTGCACTAGTGGAGGATAACAAACAGACCTAAAAACTATGGTGGAACGAAATTATATTTGAGTGTCCCTTAACTTTTAAGGGCTTCATAGTTAAGTAAAGCTTAGTTATAGTTTGGTGGAAATGGCCATAAACAAGATAGCTAACTCATCGGTGAAGTCACAGATTAGGATAAAAACCAGGGGGACGTTAAGAAACGGCGATATGGGCGCACAGCGGTGTAGTCACGAACTAAAACAAAAAGTGGAGGGGATCAATCCAGTTACTGTCTTTCAAAATCTTACAAAAACAGCTTGGTTGTGATACAGCCTACAAATCAACTGTGAAGGGCGAAGGCGAAGGGCCATGTATACTTATCAATTATTTTTTTGTACCCGGGTCCCGCTTGATACCCCATCCCGAAAAAATTAATTCTCATTAGCCTTTCTAAAATTTTTAGTTAAATATCGATATTTCACGAAATGGAAATTGCAAAATAATCGTAGAATATAACAATAATATTCATCAGGAATCAGGATTCAGGACAAGGAGGCGGAGGCGTCAAAAAACAAGCAGCAAAAACGTTATGGGCGCTGTATTCGTGGCGTTGCCTCCGTGTGATCCGCAGACGCTTGTGTTTTGCTCTTTGCTCGCAGATGCAATTCCAATTACCGAATCCAGCCGGTGATTCACCGAGTTTCCGTTGCCCCGTGCATGCTTAATTAGCATAAAAATACTATCCTTTCTGAATTATAATAGTTGTAAAATAGTATTTAATTACCTACTGGGAAACTTGCCTTTTAGCTATTTTTTTTTGTTGCACTTTGCCTATTTTGGCGCCCCTGTGCCAGCTGCGTCCTGGTGGAGAGATTTCCCCGTCTCCCCCCCCTGTTGGCTACGCCCCTGAAGATACTTATACGTCATATTTTGGTGCAGTTACTAGACTGGAGGGACATCAACCTATTATAAATTGACTCGCCGTTGGATTGCCTAATTTAATAGTAGATTATACCACGAGTCAATAATGATAGCTATTATTCCCGAGGATTATTACAACCTGAGCCGCGTTAGCGGCGAGGGAGTAACATTCCGAGGGAATAATAGCCATTATTGCGAGTAGTATACTCTACTTTATTTACGACAAATTAATTTATTTGAGATTATCAATGAACAAATTTCATCCGTCTCATAATTTTCAATACAAATCCACAAGCACTACACGTTTGACACTGACACTTTTGTGGAATAATTACCATTAATCCCGCTACTCGTCATTAATCCCTGGAGGAATAACGTATGTCATTATACTGCCAAAAATCACAAATATAATACGCACATTATACATTAGTTGAAATAAAATGACATTTTTCCAACCTTCCGTTCGTTTTCAAGTGGCATTTTCGTTGTCAGCCGAGCTGTCAGCTATCAATCAAATCCTATCAATTTTTGACAGCAATGCATTTCAAATGGGGAAGTTCAAGTACCAGTCGAGTTCAGCTGAACTCTGTTTTGAGTTTTGAACCAAGATTGTACAAGTGGGCCTAAGTCTGGTCGACCCCGATTTGAAAGCCGCTTTCCAGCTGACCATTTTGAGCACGCATTCGAGCTTTTGCGCGCGCAAATGCTTCAAGCGCGTGTTCGTGTTCCAGCCGTACTGCGCTTCGAGAGCTGCTAACTTTTGCGTTTCAAACACAGAACACTGTGCTGCACTGTCCTTGAAGCACACAGCTGGAAAGCGGCT